GACATTAAGATGTCGAAGATATTGTTGGGAAAGGTCTTGCTCTATGTGGCCGAGCACTGTCCTGCTGGAAAACAGAACCTGGATTTCCTGATAGCACAGGCAGTGCAATTGGTGGCAAAATGTCTTCAATGTACATGTGATCAGTCATGGTATCTTGCAGCATGACCAATAGTAAACGGCTGTCTCAGGTAATTGCTTCCCAGACCATCACACCTTTTGTTCTAGTTATAAGCCACTTGGTAACAAATGGTACATTGGAAAACTCACCTTTCTGTCTCCAGACACATATGTAGTGGTCATCAGCACTGAGAGAAAAGCATGATTCGTCGCTGAAGATCACATTTCTCCAATCAGACACTGTCCAGCTTGAGCGAGAGCAAGACCAAGTGTCTTAAAGGACATCGAGATCTGAATCCAGTGTCATTTAATCTTCTGTGAATCATATCCTTAAACATCCTGGGATCCCTGCGAGTTGGCAATCGGCAATGAATTTATGAGAGTGTGTAACTAGCAGCTCTTCTAATTTTGCGATCGTCTTGCGGATTGGTGGGCCAAAAACATCTCGAGCCACTACGACCACAGATTATGCCTTCACTAGTTCCAACAACAAGCTGAACAATGTCAGAAGTCAACAATCGCCTTGCTTCAACCAATATGGCAGCGTCGTTTAGCCCTATAATGCGACCCCCTATCAAAAGTTTGAAAACTGTTCATAACATTGTCAATTATATCTTAAAGGCATCTTTCACTATAAATATCATGTATCCATGCCATCAGAACAGTTGTAAATGCTTGTCAGTCGCTGGACATGCTTTTTTTTTTTTTTTTTTACATTCTATCAGCTGCACACTTCAGATGCAAGATCACTTCACAATGCTGACTGGTGCTGTAAGTTTTACACAATTTGTCAAACCACATTTGTATGACATGTTTCATAGTTGTGGCACAATTTTTTCTGGGTGCATATATTTTGCAACAGAGTGCATATCTAGATAGAACACAATTTTATTTGATTAATGAATATATTTCGGATCTTCATAAGCATATGGAGAGGTCTTCATAAAACTTTTATCAACTAAATTTACAAAATTCAAGTAGGGGAAGGGAATATAGATTATTTTCCTGACCATATCTTAAAATCGGATAGCGCAATGACATGCAGGACTGCCTGGTCACTTTAGTATAGTGAAATATTTCCATATAGAATATTTGGATATATATATTTATTGAGGCTCCTATGCCAGTCTCTAAAAACCACATTTCTCTGTAAAATTAACATCAATCTAAGGTTGAAATTTTTGTTTCTTAAAAGAGCCTACGTCACTCTTTTCCAAATGCATCCATCGTCTTTGTAAAATTTTAATCTAAGGCAGAATTTTGTGTGATTTTAAAATTAGTATCCATATACTTTTCTTCTTTTAAAAAAAGGCAGATAGAATTTTAGTATTTATGTGTTAATGGAGAAGGATTGGCTAACTCGAGTGATAATTTGATACAATTAATTTTTCCTTGTTTCAAGTGGAAAATGTTTGGCAGTGCTTCTAAAATAGCTTCAACGGGTTTTTTTATTCTCAGTTATAACTTTCTGATACTATACTGAACTCTGCTAAATATGACTTCAAACAGTATCTTGCTGTTCTGCTATTCTAAAGAACCTCATACTCATTCACTATTTTACATATGGAATGCCAGAATGTGGATTCAAAACTTGTGGTTTACTGAAAAGCATGACCCCCCCTTTTTTTTTAATTGTTTTGTTTTATAGACAACTCAGGAGTCATGGAAAGTCGTTCCTTTTTTGATATTTTCTTTGACTGTAATTTTTCAGTCGACGCCATAACAAGAAAGGTTTCTTGAACTTTTTGGCAAGCAGAATGTGGCCAACATTACTTTTTCTTTTCAAGAAGAGGCTTTTATCAATCTATGACTAAACCTTTATCGTCAATTTTTTTTTTATTTTCATGACTCTGCATAACATAGGCACATATTTCTCATATAATTGTTCCAATTGACAACAGTAGTATCAGCCATGTTCAATTTTTCCATGCATATTTTTACTAATGCCATTTGTTAGACCAGCAGTAGATGAATGAGATGGCAGTAACAAATGGTAATCTACTTGCTGCAAACCAGTTGCCAACTCAGATTCTCACAAATTCCATGTCTTTCGAATATTGCCATGCACATTTTGATTGACTTGAATATAATTTCATTTTGTGCAAAATGGAACATTGGCAGTTACTCAGTAATATATTATACTCTTGAAAGAAACTAAGAAAAACATTTTCATCGTTTTGTAGATCACATAAACCAATGATCAAACTACAAACTCTGGGAAAACATTCATTCATAAAACTTAGTGACAGCATATGGTTGCAAAAGCAATTAATTTTTGTTATGGTGATAAAATTTGTAACTCTTCACTCTTTTTTGTCTGCTTCTTAAATAATACGCAAGCCTAAGAAACTTAAACAGAATGAAAAATTTAATTAGGGAATCTTAAAATTACTTCAGAAGATAGCATTCTTTTATGAAGCTTTACCTTTTTTGTACTGCTCAATTTTGATACATTCTTGTCCTTTTGAAATATGGGGCATTTTTTAAAAATTTTCTCTATCTTCATATACATTACTATTCACATCTTTAAAAACTATTTTTATAATTTTTATAACCAAAATATTTTTGGCGAGAAACTTCACGCTGCCATATTACTATCTAAATTTTTGTTACATTTTGAACTTTTAGCCTAAAATGTCTCCAAAAAAACGCGGGTTTTGCACATGCAAAAACTACGTTTTGAAACACACAATTTAGCTAAAAAATCCGAAACAAAACAAAAATTTAGATAGCAAAATGTAAAGTTTCTAACCAAAAATATTTGACAAGAATCCATGTACACAGCGACATATTTTAACTTAAAAAAACATCTACGAATTGCACAATGTAGGCAACGAACGAATCTACAAAACTACGCAGACCTCGCTTTAATAAATTAACATAACAACAATAAATTTCAAAGAATACCATGTACACAGCATCCTGTTTAAACTTTAAAAAATTCTACAAATTGCACAATTTAGGCGAGGAAGGAATCTACGATCTACGCACTCCTCGCTTAATAAAATAACATAACAACAATAAATTTCAAATACTACCATGTACACAGCGTTCTGTTTCAACTTTAAAAAACATCTAACGAATTGTACAGTCTAGACACTAAACAACAAAATAAACTAAAATAAATTTCAAACAATTTAAAAAAACAACAATAACGACAGAAATTCATACTAAAGAACCAATGAACATAACATTCTACAAAATAAGAACAAGGATAAAATAAAATGCACTTACCATGAATTAATGCATTTTCAAATTAGCAGAAATATAAATTTCATACCGCCTTTAACATGCCGCCACGTAATCAATATCGTATTTACATGACAGCCAGACACACTATCCAGAAAATTTACACTATGGTTCACAAATAAATAAAATCACAAATCCCTACTTCTATCATGCACTGCCATTAAAAATAATCTCCCAGACCCTCTTTCCACAGTTCCAAATACCCACTACCCCTCAACAGGATAGCCACAATCATATTTCCTTTTGCCGAACTTCAATTCAACAACTACCATTTTATCTTTCCCTCCGGGGATCTTCTCAGACACAGAGGCGAATCAACGAGCTCCAGCGAAAGATTTTTCAACATTCAACAGGGTTGCCATAGGAACACACAATCGCGCCAAAAACCAGTGCAGAACACATATCGCCACATTTGGTGAAATTAGGGCATATATTAGAATTGTACCCAAATTTTGAAGAATATAAGGAATATGTTACTATTCTGTAACATATTAACATTTAAATTACTAACTTATTACACTGACAAATATACCACACCTGGTATATTATAATAGGTTATTTAAATTCTTGTTCTTTCATGAGTTTCTTATTTGATAGCATTTAAAATTTCTTATACTGCTGTATCACTCACCAGTCAAACAGAGGATTAGATTACCCATAAAACTTAAAATACTTTCTCATGTAAAGTAACAATGTGATTAACTTCAATACTGAGCATAGCAGTGCAATTATTTAATTTAGAATAGACAAATTTTTATAATATTATCAATAACAAGTGCTTATTCTTAATAATTACAAGGCTAATTCAGAAGGCAAACAACAAAAATCAGCGTTAATTTACAAAATTTTCACAGGACTAGTTTCGATGGTTTTACCGAACCATATCTTCAGTGCAAAACCGCAAATGAACAAGATGGGAAATAATGTTTAGATAAGGTAAGAAAGCTGGACAAGAATAAGCAAGTGGCCAAGATGGCGCCACTTGCTTATTTTGTCCAGGCTTTCTTACCTTATCTAACATTATTTCCCATCTTGTTCATTTGCGGTTTTGCAGCTGAAGATGATGGTTCGGTAAACCATCGAAATAGTCCTGTGAAATTTTGTAAATAACGCTGATTTTTGTTGTTTGCCTTCTGAAGAGTATTTATTCGGCGTGTTATGTGTCTTTTACAAGCTGTTATTTATTCATAATATAAAATATCTAGTGCACTCCTGATAATATATATACAGAAAAAGAAAAGACTACTTCATATTAACACCACCATTTCATTTATAGCAAATTTACCAAAATCAAATTCACTATAAATAAATGTTATTACAATCAGTCATATTTAAAGTTATGTAAAACAGGAACTTAGTTTGGCCCAGATTAAAAAAAAAATTCCATCGCTTTTGAAGGTAATCAGCCATAAGGACAAAAGTTTTTCTTCTTCAGAAATGCATGCAAATTGCTTTGCTGTTAAAAAAGATCAACTTTTGTCTGGCCACTGTCCAAATCAATAGTTTCTTAAAATCTATCAAACTAAGGCTGCTGTTTTACCTACTTTTAAATTTTACATTGGCATGTTTCTTTAACAATTTCATTCAATCATACGTCAAAAGTGTTTCTTAGCAAGTATCTGTTTAAATATAAATCACCATTTTCAACTAATTTATTCATCACATATCAATTCTATCACATTCAGCTGTAAACAATCTGATTACCATGCAAAGTTTTCTACTTTCCTGAAAGAAACTGCAAAAGTTACGACACATTAATAAAAGGTTTTTAAAAAAAATTCAAAAATTCTCCTGGCACAAAATCAAAACCATCTTCCAGATATTCAGGAGGAAATAGCTGCTCATAACATTCTGAACTACGTTCACTAAAGTGAGAATATGGATTTGAGGCTTTTAAACGTTTCATACACAGCCAACAGAAAAATGTACCACACCTAAAACAAGTCATTTTATTACATCCTTCAGTTTTTTCTATCGAAGCACCACAATGAGGGCATTTTTTACTATATGAATGAATCCATTTAGCAGACAATGTATCTTCAACCAGAGACCTTATGACACGTTTTCCATGGCGCTTTTCTAGTTCTTCACGACATGCATTATCTCCAGTAAGATATTCGTCACAAATCCTTTGTTTCTCTTCAGATTTAAAATTACATGGGGCAACACCATGATAAGCCATTTTGCAAAATGGACAAAACACAAATTTACAAGCAGGACACATCCCCATCCTTCCGCATGAATCAATAACCAAAGGACACTGGCATGCTTTTCTTGGGCAATATGCAATATCTGACATACTTTCCAGAGTCCGTGATAAAAGTAAGGTATCATATTTCTCAAAGAGATCTTCGTTAACTATTTGTTTAACTAAAGATCCATCAGCTTGAGAAGAACACTTTTCTTCTGGACAATTTAATGAATTTACATTTCCTTCTCTGATCTGGACTTCAAAATAAGACTTCAAACAATCCTGGCAAAAATAATGTTGACATGATCTAAACATAATAAAATCAATTCCTTTCTTATTAAGAAAACAAATATTACACTGGTGCCAAGAATTTTCAAATATTTCTAATTTTTTATATTCGTTGAAGTCCTTCAACAAATTTCTTAAAATCCTGCCATCAGGTAAATCTAAGAATGCACGGCAATCTCTAGACCCCTGACCACGGGTTACAGATAGTTGGATATTTGGCAAGGAGTGATTAACAGCTTTATCTGTAAACGATTCAAAATTCGCATTTAATTGCTCTGTATGATTATCCTCCTCTTTTGAATAAGCATCAATATCTCTTTTCCTTGCTGATCCTTCGTTTTCACGTTTCCTAATTTTTAATTTGTACTTCAACAATTTGGTGATATCGAGACATTTATTTATATGAAGAAATTCTAAAGTCTCTTCTTGCAGAAACTGAATCCACCTGAATAATATAACCTGGCCGCAGCTTTCAACCCATAATGATTCAAGGTGCTCGCATAATTCAGATAGTTGGTCATAGGTTAGCCAGTTACAAGAAAGTAAGAATGCCGGGCATGTATCAGATGGATAAGTACTAGGAAATTCAAAAAATAAATTTATTGGAGGTAGATATTCTACTTGGAAGACTTCGGTTCGAGATAATTTACTTTCATTTTCATCTGAAGTGTAAAACCGTACATCTTCATTATTCGGACAAATATAGAATGGATGATTTAATTGCACATTAGCTCTGAATCGACCACATGGAGGATCAGTTCCTTCCACTATAAAATCTTTTTCTTCATATATACTCTGCAGAGCAAATAATTCTTCATTTTGAGCCAATATATTATCCATTGTAATTATAAAAGACAAAAGTTCATAATATAAATAACCTAATTAAAAGGCGCATTTCGAAATAACTTCGAAAGAGAAACAGTCATAAAAATGTGTTTACAGCTTTGATGCCAGTATCATTTTAAGGAATTGCATTTATCGAAAGTTTAATTAACTATTTTATTAAAATAGTAACTTTGACGATAAACTCTTCTTAAAAATTATTTTTATAATTGAAATAAATAATATCAACATCATTTTCTACAGTGTGAGCCGTATACAACATAACAAAAAGGAAAAAAGTTAATTTTCTTGAGTTTTCTAGCCATTTTCAAGCTGTGTGGAGTAAAGATTTCAGCCAAAGAATTGTGACCCGTACTTTCTGTTTCGAAAATTAATATTCTAAGACGGGAAAAAAAAAAGATGACAGCTAAAAATAAAGTTGGTGAACCACCAGAAGAAGGCAGCGAAGAAATTCATGAAGGTGGTGATGATGAATTACAAGATATTGATACAGAAGGTAGGAATTTTTGTCATCTCAATGCACCAAAAGGCACGATTATTAACAAAGCTAGGAAAATTGCGCGAAGTGCAGTAGATCAGCAATAATCTATTATATTAGTATTCATAAATCATATGAAATGATTCCCAGAGTCATAGGAAGTATCACAGCGACGGCAAATTATCGGTAAAATAATTACAATGGCTCACATTTGTTTTCGGTTACGTGTTTTTCAGTTTTATTTGCAATTATCAGTTACTAAATATTAGCATAATGTCTATATTTTTCTTTCACACATACTTTTGGTCATCTATTTTAAAACCGGCTTGTTTTAAAAAAGTTATTTTAAACATTTTTGGTAATTTTTTTTTTTTTCAAGAAGGTCTGAAAATGAAGTGACGTAAGTTTTGTGGTGCTTTGAGTAAATCGATAATATTTTATAAAAAAAAAAGGAAAATTACGAGACATTCAATATTTCATTGGATATATCTTTTAGTTAAAATTACACTTTTCGTACACTTTGTCATGGATTCATGTAAGAATGCACCATTCCTATGTAAGAATTACTTTTAGTGGAGCTTTTGAAGAAGCATTCATGTTTTCTTATTCTTTTCTTCAATACACTCCTTGGATGTTCCATAGGATTTAAATACAAAGTATATGGAGAACTCTTAGTAACTATAGGATAGTTGTATAATAACCACAAGCAAGCATTTATGGCTGTATATTTAGTGTCACTATCCTGATAAAACTTGAATTATTTTGCATTCTATGTTTTCTTGCAGATGCTTTTTGGTTAAGAAAATTTATGTAATTATATTTATATTATTTTAAATAAACACTAAATTTCTCATTCCAAAAGCAGCGGAACATTCTTAAACCATTATGCCTCTACACCATGTGCAACATTAGGCAACAAATTTTTCTAATTCAATATTTAATTCAGACTTTGCCACATCATAATTCATTTGTCAGACAGACTTCTGCAAATATAACATGTTCCAATATGATAGAACTTTGCCTACTATATATTTTGTAAATGCCAAGCAAATGTTCTTGATGACAAAGAATTTTCTTGTTTCTGATCGCCCATTATATCTGTGTGTCCTAAGAGGCTCTTCTAAAAGCTTTAGGATTAACTTTTATTGCAAATCCTTCTTCTGAATCTGCAAAATGTTTTACAATACTAATTTTGGGCTCTTGGCTGATTTTTTATAGAATCAGTCTGTGTCATTGGTGTTAGCTTGGAATATGGTCTACACTTCACTGCATTTTTCAACAGTTCCATGCAATTTCCATCTTTTTATAACATCAAAGACAGTTAAATGCTTTACATCAAGGATTTTTTAGATATTTTTGAATACTTTTACCATCTTTAAAAAGGTGAATAATTAAATTTCTAACAGAATTGGTCAACCTTGGGTGCATTTGACTTCTGAGACACGTCATTCGCTTTTTTCCCGTGGTGGATGACGTGTCTAAGACGTCAAACCAAAAATTAAACTCTTGGGTACATTTGACTTCTGAGGGACGTCATTCACTTGTTTTCCCTAGGAGCGGATGATTCACATACTATTCATTCAAATGCTGATTTGATAAACACAGGCAAAAGGAGAAAAAATGAAGGTGGCGATAGCGAAAATATTATAAAACTGGCATATGTGTTTGAGTATAATAAAGATATGGGAGGCGTTGATAAACAAGACCAATTGCTAGCGTGCTTCTCAGTTATGAGAAAAATGTGTAAGGGTTATAAGAAAATGTGTTTTTTTTTTTTTTTTTTATCTAATAGATATGGCCTTTTAATGCTCATGTTTATATTCTAAAATAACTGCACAACCAAGCCAGGCATACTTCCTTTCGTTAGCTATTGCTGGAGCAATTGCATTGGCCATTATAAACGCCGTGGATGCCCGTCAGTAGCGATACACCATTTCGTTTGGCAGCGAAAATTGGGCACACTTTTCTGAGAACATTCCGTCATCTAAGTCAAGCAACACCTGGAAAAGGTGCCGTGTTTGTTAAAGCATAATATTAGGAAAGAAAATACGTGGCAATGCAAAATGCAAAGTAGACTGGATTTCTTACTTGCTTTGAAAATATCACTCATATTAGTAATTGATTTTTTTTATAGCTTGAATTTATTTCATTAGTTTTATTTGTTGTTATAATTCATTTTTTGCAATTCTAATTACTTGAAGACATCTTAATAATACATAGCACCAATATCTTAGAAATAAATAAATTCTTATGTAAAATGTACTGCTTTTACATTCTACTCCAAGCAACCAAAAATTATATCCATTCCACATTCAAATATTTTCTCAAATAAATCCGTACCCAAGGGGTTAATTTATGTAGTCTTTGCCATGTTCACTTCAGATATGGAAATGTTACTATATTTTGCTGAAAAATAGAAATTTCTGAATGCAGATGATAATAGTTAAGATATATTTTTCAAACAAAAAATAAGGAAAGAAACATAGTCTTCCAAAAATCTCAGCAAATCATTTTGAATAAATTACTTTATTACATGAAATATTTTGGTGATATTTATTTTACAACAAATACATAATACCAATAAATGGTACTATTCCGTTTTGAGGACTATAAAAAAATTGCAGCGAAAATATATGCGCAAAAGTGCCAAATCCATCGTACGCGTTGATTTCAGATTGTGTAAGTTTATATACTTCTGTATTTCTTAAGACGTCATTGAAACACTATTTTAATTTTTAAATCCTTTTTTGATTTCAAATTCTTTTTTGATATCCTGTGGATTTAAAAATTTGCGAATTGTCCGTGACGAAAAGTCTGCAAGAGTATTTTTTCAAAGAAAGGCATCATTCATTATTGAAAATTATGTTTGAACAACCAACGAGATGAAAATAGTGCTTTAGTGATAACTCGGTAGCCACTCAGTTATGTTTAGCCTTTTTTTATATAAATTATAATCATGATCTGAAATAGTTATTTACTCTTATGCTTCTGTTCAATTATGTTTATTCTTTTTATATAAATAATAATAATAAAAAACTATTATATGAAATTAACCTTTTATCTAAATTAAAACAATAATCTTAGATAGTTATTTACTACAGTCAAAAGTCTAAAATCCGGACTCGTTGGAGTCCCGACGATTCCGGATTATAGATCATCAGTTTAAATCTGGTAAGATGGCATGCAGAAATTATAAAATTAAAAATATGAAACCGTAATTTATTAACATAGAGCAATTATGATCTAAAGGGTATCAAAATTGACAAAAAAGCTTAATATTTATTTGTTTACTTTATTAAACATTTCTTTCAACATGAGCATGCTACTGTCTAAACAATAAAACCAACACATACAGTCAAAAGTCGTTAATTCGGACACCCATAATCTGGACCTCAAAGCTAAAACCTTTCTGCGCATACGCCGCGTTGGCACATGCGCACAGGGTGCGCATAAGAACCTTGACTATGCGCAATGCGTGTGCGCAAGTGCAGAATACGTTTTCGCCTGCGGTTTAATGTATAACGGACGGGTAAGCTCAAATTATCTAATATATATTTCAGTTAATGTAATGATTGCGTTGTTCTTAATTCTTCGAATTGGATCCCGCTTATTATTTTTTGCAGACTGTAAGAGCAATTTTATAAAAGTAAACTTGAACTTTCAATTATGTCAAATAGAATTTCCGATGCTGGACTTCCAAAGGATCTACAAAACGAAAGTATGTTTCGATGTCCAACAAACAAAAAGGGGAATTGCTGCAAAAATGGTAAAGACATGAAGAATGTGACAGAGAGGTAGTGAAAACGAAAAAAAATTTCGATTGACCAGTTAGTCGGTATTCTCGGCACAGCAATTAACAGGACTTGAACAGCGGAACTTTAACTGAACAAGAAATTATGTCTGTTTATAGAATTAAAGAAAAGTATTATCACATAAAACGAAGCAACTTAAACTGACATTGAAAGGAAATGTTTAATAAAGTAAACAAATAAATATTAAGCTTTTTTTTTTTTTTTTTTTTTTTTTTGTAAATTTTGAACCCTTTAGATCATAATTGTTCTTATTTCATAAATTACGGTTTCATATTTTTAATTTATAATTTCTGCATGCCAATATTACGAGATTTAAACTGATGATCTATAATCCGGAATCGCCGAGTCCCGACGAGTCCGGATAACGACTTTGACTGATCACAAAAAAGGCTACAAAACATCCCATGATTCAAAATTTCCAGAATCATGCATGATTACGCAAATAGGGGCATAACATTAAACTCAGCTTACATAAATGAAAAACAACTTGGCGACAAATGAAAACAACTGGTGATAAAGAAACAAAACTTGGTGATAATGAAACAACTCGCCATAATGAAGGGGACCTAAGTTACTTTAACCAAGTTCTCCAGAGTTCTGATTTTTTAAAAAATTTTCAACAAGCATTGCAGATAGTAAACGTAATAATACAGTCAAAGTCGTTAATCCGGACTCGTCGGGATTCGGTGATTCCAGATTATCGATTTGCTGGATTATAGATTCTCAGTTTCCATCTGGTAAGAGGCATGCAGCGAATTAGAAAATTAAAATATGAAACCTAAGTATGAAATAAGAACAATTATGCTCTAAGGGTAAAAATTACAAAAAAAAAGCTTAATATCTTTGTTACTTATAAAATTTCGTTAATTTTGTTATGGTAAACATGGCGATTTTTGGAGACCAACCGTCACAGCACCCTGCTAGTTTTGTTTGGATGGCATTGTTTTCCGAAAGTAAAGCATGTTTTTTTTTTTTTTTTTTTTTTTTTTCCAACAAATTTCCTGCTAGCGAAGTAAGCTTATGCTAGAACTTAGGGAACAAAAGTGCTAATCTGATGAGATTAGTGCGAAATTGGGAAAAAAGTGTGAATCGTGAATGATTGCCGTGTTTTTAAGAATGCAATAACGTGTCCATAAAACGTCAACTATTTTCACTTAAAAAAATCCCAGAATTGCCAAAAATGATTGTGCAACTCTTGACTTCTCC